TTTATATTTAAAATGAGATGTTTATCCTGTATTTGATTATGTTTATCTGCAGTTAGTTACACGAATTAAGACATGGAGCTTTAATAAGTTGTACTTACGCACAATCTACTTGTAATATTGAATTTTAAGTAATATGCATTAATAAACTGTACTTTATGCATAAAAAATGGTTTTTAAGAGTTTTTGTCAAATGCTTTATAATATAGTATAAATATAAAAGCACCAATGATTTTTTATTAAATAAATATGAAATTTAAATTTATTGTATCACCCGATCGGACCTCGTCCATATCATTAACGATAAAGTTGTTACAATCATTGTTAATAGCAGCCATAAGAAACAGGGACATGCTATCAAAAGAATAAATTAGACTACAAGCGATGTCTAGACATTAAATGAGTCGGGTCATTCGCAAGACGGTTGATCTAATGAACGGATATGTAATCTTTCGAATTTAGAATGCCTCTAATATCCTTGATGGTATCACCAAGTTCCGAGTTGTTGACGGTCGTGGCATAGATCGCTTCCACAAGAACCTTGGCGTCGGTTTCAATGATGATATGACTATCGTATCGGCCGGACATCCAACTGAGTGCTTCACGAATAGCGATGGCTTCACATTCCCTAGTGGATGGGAGAAAGTTGCCAGGGGAGGCGAGAGTCGATATGAAGGTACCAAAGTTGTAACGAAGGACGACATTATCACCCGCTTTAGACTCCGAGTCAAAATCGCGGCATCCACGTTGCACTTAATAAACCCACGCCAAGGCGGGTGCCAGGCGGAGGAGAACGTTTGCTTGGGGAGTCTATGTGGTTGCGAAGTTGGGTTTTTTGAGCCGATCAAATCGGATAAGAAATGTCTAGCACGATGCACCATCGAATAAGGGTCACGAGGTCCATTTTCCAAATCACCTCGTTATGGTAGTACCAAATACTCCATAGAATCATGAGGAAAAGATATTGGGATTGGTCGGAGTTGTCAAGGAAGAATTTAAAAGTAAGCTCGTTAAAGGAATTGAACAAGAAAGTTAGTTCCTCAATCGAATCCCCAAGACCTGCTTCGTGCCAAACTTGCCGAACCAAAGTGCAACCCACGAAAGCATGCCAAACATTTTCATCATTACGATTTCAAAGCGGACAAACGGTCGAGATTGAAACTCCCCTCACTTGAAGGGCGCACCTAGTGGGTAAGACATTTCTAATGGCGCACCAAACAAATTTTGTTACCTTGCACGGGATGTTGGCGTTCCAAAGCCTTTTCCAGTCGCCATCAACAAAGAGATGATTTAGCGGAGCAATTAATTCGTGATAATACGACAACTAGATTTAACGGAATAAATCCCGTCATGGGACCAATGCCAAATGAGGGCGTCATCACGATTGTCGGAAGGAGGTGGTAGTTTGAGAATCCGGAGGCAGTCCCAATGGAGCTTTAATAAGTTGTACTTACGCACAATTACTTGTAATATTGAGTTTTGAGTAATATGCATCAATAAACAGTATTTCATGCATAAAAAATAGGTTTTAAAGGTTTTTGTCAAATACTTTATAATATAGCTTAGATAAATTGAATCAAGAAATCATGTTTTAGATTATTACCGTTAAACTTTTGGGGATATTGGATTAAGACTCTAGCACGAGGATGATTACTTGTGTGAGTTTAAGTTAATCAGGTTAGTCAGATTTGACATACATGAGATCAAATTCAATACAGGCCATTATATGACATATGGTTATATGGTTATATGGATCCTATTTTTTTTTGTAAAATATACTTCGTCAATTTGATTTAGTTTAACTAGAAGGGTACTCGTACAATGCAACGAGATACATCTCGATTTTAATGTTCTATTTTATTCTTTGTCTCTGTCGATGTTATAATATAATTTTATGTGTTTTTAAGAAAACAATAATGATTTTATTTTTGAATAAAAATATAAATTTGAAGATATCATAAAAATTTGAAAAAAATTATATCAATGCTAATATCAAATCAACTATTTAAAAATTCTCATTTTTTATATAATTTTTTTATTATAATTTTAATTTAAGTTTAATAATGAAATAATAAATATTTGGTTTAATAATATAACATTTTATAAAGATAATAATTAAGGGGGTGTTTGGTAAGAGATATTAAACAATAATTAATGAAAATGAAAATAAAAGAAATTGTTTGGTTTTTTATAGTATAACTATAATGGGTCCATTCCTTTCAGAAGCCCAGAAACCCAAATTTCCATTCCAGATTAAACTGAGGGGAATGAAAATCCATTCTCATTTTCATTTCCTGTCATTTTCATTTTCATACCCATTTTCATTTATTTGCCTGAACCAAACGCCCCCTAAGTATTCTAGTGGAACTCAATGATTATCCTAATTATATTTTATATTTTTTATATTTAAAATGAGATGTTTATCATGTATTTGATTATCTTTATCTGCAGTTAGTTACACGAATTCAGATATGGAGCTTTAATAAGTTGTACTTACACACAATCTAACATGCATTAATAAACAATACTTTATACATAAAAAATGATTTTTAAAAGTTTTTGTCAAATGTTTTATAATATAATATAGATTATGATTATATGGGCTTTAAATAATTTATTCATTAGATTTTGAATCTCAATTCAAGATTTATATGAATATAGGTATATGGCCCTAAACGATGTAAAGTTGTAAACCAAAGAAAAAGTTCAATGGTATATCCGGATTTGGATGTGCCCAATTATCAACGTCCTAACCCTGAGACCTAATCGTTCAACCAAAATTATGTTCTCTTTTGTTGAAACGGTGATCGAATCAGCCATCAATATTTCATTGAGTCAGACAGTGTTTATCAAAATTGTTTTTTAAGCATGTAATATTCATATATGATAAACGAAATTCATATACCCACCTTTGGTTGGAATGGAACTCTGGATCTGTAGGATAGTTGGGTTAGCAGATACCACTAGGCCCAATGCCCTTTAGTTCAAATTGTTTTCATCTGTAAATACTTGCTAGAAAATATTTGATGAACAATTATTTTCAATCGATGTTAGTCTAAGATAAATCTGTTACTCATACCATACTTTTACTTGGTCAATATATATTCAATTCGTATTGATAAACAACTGCTAATAAGTCAACTACAAAACATACAACGAAAATAGATACCCACATGCATGTACAGTGAGACCTAGTTGAAAAATGAAATCTACGTAAAAGATAAAATAAATTAAGCAAAATCCAGCCGATTCTTCTCGTCACATTGGCACATTTTTTTTATTGACCTGGATATCGAACTCGCTATGCGAGCCGACTAATCTCAGGACGACCACCTGCTTTGCAGATAGCCCGGAGTCACCGCATTTGAACCTCCGTGGCTACAAGGGGATTTGTATTTCTCCTTAGATTTGAACCTGAGACCTCCTGGTACTTTTGACCTTTGGAGCCAAGCTCAAACCAATCAGGCACCACCCTTGTGATTCACATTGGCACTTTTAGAAGTCATAGAGTTTGGAATTTATATATATAAGTATTTGAAAAATAATCTAAGCATAAAAATATAACGGGATAATTACAAATTAAACTTATGAAAACTAAATATAAAAACATGTATAAAATTTTACTAGAAACCAAAAATAAAACAAAATTAATAGATATATTTTATAATTATTTTAATTTAAATCTTTTGTACCAATTTTAACTTATATGTTTGATATACTTATTAAAACTAGAAGGGTACTCGTATAATGCAGCGAGATATATCTCGATTTTAATGTTTTATTTTATTCTTTGACTTTGTCAATGTTATAATACGGTTTTATGTGGTTTTGAGAAATCGATAATGTTTTTATTTTTGAATAAAATATAAATTTGAAGATATCATAAAATTTTGAATTTTTTTTATAAAAGTTCTAGTTTTTTTTTGTGTAACTTTTTTAATTCAATTTTTTTATTATAATTTAATTTAGGTTTAATAATGCAGTAATTTATTTTTTGTTTAATAATATAACTTTTTTGTAAATATAATTAATTACGTACTATGTCAGAACTCAATGATTATCCTAATTATATTTTAGATTTTTTATATTTAAAAT